ATATTAATGAATGCCTTTTTAGTCATATTTTTATATACATTTTATACATTGATAATATCATTTTGAAGCTACTTTTTAGCTGAGTCTTTCAGAATGCACACTAGTCACTTTTTAGTAATGTTTTTATATACTTTTTGCAGAACAACATAGTAGTATCATTTTGAAGCCATTTTGAAGCCCATTTTTTTGAAATACATACTAGTCACTTTTTGGTAATGTTTTTATATACTTTTTACAAAATCTCATAGTAATATCATTTTAAAGCCATTTTTCAGCCGAGTCTTTTAGAATGCATACCAATCACTTTTTAGTTATAGTTTTATATAGATTTCATAAAATGACATAGTAATATCATTTTGAAGCCAATTTTCAGCTCAGTCTTTTAGAATACATGCTAGTTACTTTTTAGTAATTGCTTATTCACTTTTTGCGAAATGACATATATTGTCATTTTAAAGCCATTTTTTGGCTGAGTCTTGAAGAATGCATACTAGTCACTTTTTGGTTGTATTTTTATATAGTTTTTGCAGAACCACATAGTAGTATCATTTTAAAGCAATTTTGAAGGTGCTTTTAAGGAGAGGTGTACTAACAATTTTTAGTAACATTCTTATATTGTTTGTTTTAAATAATCCTACTCTGAGATACTTAGTAATATGTCAAACTATTATCAGGCAGCTATAAATAAATAATGATTTACATTATACTATAATATCAACTGACATATAAGACTCATGTGATAACATAACATATTATTGTTATAAAGTGTGTTGCATACTCTAATACATTGCCATAATATTTTTATAAACTACAATCAGGTGACATCTTATAAGTAAGTTATAAGTATAATATTGTTAAAAGCTTACTATATATTACTAAGCAATGCACCAGTTATTGAATAACATTATAGACTATTATAATGCTTTTATTTAAACAGCAGTGGCATTTTCTTGTAACTTTTTTGTATAGACATATAGATGACATGCTGGACTATTGCAGTACTGCTACCAAATATTTGTAAGTAAAATATTAGATGAACAGCATACTAAAATATTGTAATGCAGTTGTTAATGATACTTAGAGTATCTAAATAATATTATAAGTCATTCTAATACTTTATTTCTTTTTGCTATCGATATAACATGAATTTTTATATAATTTTATTTGGAATAAAAACAGAGTTTCAGAGGTACCAAAAATTATACTCTAACAAGAAAGACTTGCATTCTTTATACTTATTAGTATAACATCAAATTGTACTAGATTTTCACCTAAAGTGACTGTTTTAAGTGAATATGAATAATGAAACCTTGACATAAATACCTAATAAAAATACAACATGCTATGCAATGCAATGAATCATTCTTCACAAGTAATCAACTACTAAGGAGTAATACAAAATGATTAAAGTATGTGAAAACAATTAGATGATGAGAGAAAGAGAGGAACACAAAATCTCAGGAATCGTTCCTGCCATGCAAAGCAATGGCCCACTCCCCACAAGTGAAGTCAGTAAAGTGCACGTCAGCACACATATTACATAATACTGTCTACAGGAAAAGAAACACTTACTATACAAAGGCACTCACAAATAACTGAGCTTTGACACTGCATGTCTATGGTAACATGCAGCAACAAAGCTCAGCCACTTAAGGCCGGCTTGCTAGAAGGAGATGGTGGTGGTAGAGAAGGAAGAGCAAGTTGCGCCAGCTCATAAAACCATCTATTTGGCCATATTTGTTCGGTCATGTGCCCCAGACATCAGACACATCAATATGCAGAAGGTGTACACTGGTGGCTGAAATATTACTACATTTGGAAATTTTTCGGACTCAGATCGATTTTTAGCCACTGTCCACTAGATTTTAGAAAGTCTAGCCCTCTAAGCATATCATGTGATCTCAATGGGTTTGTGCGCACAAGTCCTTTTGATTGCAATCACTGTAATTTGATCTATCCCTCTCTCTCTCTCTTGCTCTATCCTTTCTGTCTTTGCTCTGCTATATTTCTGTTGCTGTGCCTCTGCTGCTTATTCTCACACATCTATTTGGCTACTTTTGTATATTCTACCATGCACGGCCAGTCTGAGAAGCACACACAGTCTGCTCAGCCGGCCAGTCAGACCTCTACCTCACTAGGCAGGGACATAGTAGTGTAATAAACTATGCAAAGGTCCAAGTATAGTTATAGTAAATGTTATAGTCCAGGTATGAGTTTGTTGGACCCGTGAAACCTGTACACATAGTATAGGTATATGAGGTCCGACTATATAAACCTGCGGAGTTTTTATAAATATATGAGTGAGACTCAAATTAAACTAAATAAATTGAAGCACAAATGCTAACACATATATTCTGTAAGAGAGCTACTTAAACTTAAACTTTGCATGTTAAACTTTGCTCTTAAGTACTACTTTACTTGAAGACATGTTCAGGATGTGTAGTAAACTACACATAGGTACATACATAGTAATAGTACAGGTCATAGTACAGGTTTATCCTTTATAAACCTGTGACCCTCATAGACCTGTACTATATGCAGGTCTATGTACCTGTATGTATAGTATAGTGTCCCATCCACTGAAAAATCTTGGGTACCATTGACGAAGGGTCTTTGGATTGTCAGCAAGCCTGAGATAGCACTGACCACAAGGTTGGATACCTCCTTTTTGGTTTGGGTTCATCTGCACCTGTGCTCGCTGCCTGTGCATGGTACCATTGCCAATCTTGTGGAGGAGTACCTTCGAGCCTATTACGTTGACTGCAGTGAGTTTCTAAATCAGCTGGATGTTGTCTTTGCCTTAAGAGGTTCAGAGGCAACAGAAGGTCATCATCTTCATATGCTCAACATAGTGTCAAAAATTGGATCATATGTATTTAGATTAAATTCAGTGGCTCTGAATCATTTGATATAAAGGATATTGGTCTCAGAATGTGACAGCAAAGGACTGCCCAACTACTACTACACAAACCCTGAAGGTGGTCTGACCTGGCTCATTATAGCTGATGGCATCACATGTGATGAAACCTGTACATATACACTTGGTGAAGGCCCCAGCTTTAAAACTCCTATGTGTGAAGAGAATTTTGCCCTTTCTGATCAAAACAAATAGAAGATGCTACTTGGCCAAAGCCAAAGTGTGGAGAAACAGCAGGAGGCCTCTATTGGCAAGGCACTATGGCATCAGGTCACTACTGTAGTTATTCTGCGAGAGAACATGCAACAGCGGTCACAAAGTGAAGAAGACAAAAAGTTACAAACAGCACTAGAGAATTTAAGATACAAGTCTTGTACTAAGGCAGACATTAAGTTGCTCCAGTCTAGAATAGCTGGAAGGGGTCCTGACAGACCTAAACTCTCTCAGACAAGATTCAGAAATGTGTCCATCATAAGAAGCTTTAATGCATATCGTGATCGAATCAATGAACTTGGCTCTGCACAATTTGCCAGAGAGACTGGTCAGACACTTCAGACATTTTATTCTGTAGACAGTTGGAAGTCAGAAGACACTAGTAACAAGAAGAGAAAATCAAAAAAGAAGTCTGCTACAGTAGATCCTAAGCGATCATCAAATAAGATCAGTCCACACTTGCAGGAAAAACTCTGGAACTTGCCGCACTGTTGTACCAATCATCATCCAGGTAAACTGTCCCTATGTATTGGACTGCCAGTTATGATTAAGAACAATAAAGCAACTGAATGTGGTGTTACCAATGGTGCTGAAGGCATTGTAGTTGGCTGGAAGTCACGACCACTTACTCAAGATAAAATGGCTCTTGATACTCTATTTGTAAAGTTGACTGCACCTCCGTCTCCTATTCAATTAGATGGCTTACCCCTGAATGTTGTTCCTATTACACATCAAGTACAAGAGATTGACTGTGTAATGCCAAATGGTGCACGCCTGCACATAAGTCGAGATCAAGTGGCAGTGATTCCAAACTTTGCAATGACAGACTTCAATTCTCAAGGCAGAACTCTTTCAGATAATGTATGTGATCTTCAGAACTGTCGGACACATCAGTCTATCTATACCTGTCTATCACGAGGTTCAACATATGCAGGTACAATACTTGTGCAAGGATTTGATCCAGCAAAGCTTACTGTTGGCATAACTGGCTACTTAAGACAAGAATTTCGAGACTTGGAACTGTTAGATGAAATAACTAGACTGCAGTACAGCAAGAAATTGCCTGCATTTGTTGACGGTCCTACTCGTGGTGCAGTCATACATGCATATCATACATGGAAAGGCCAAGATTATATTCCCAAGATAGTACACCATGCCATTACACCGGAGACGGGGACTAATATCTAAGTTCCTTACATTGTGGGAACATCCGGCCTAACATTTACATGTATGACGGCCCGTATGTAGCTCCGACGGTCGAAAATATGTTTACAATGTAAGGCCTGATGTCTGGGCATGCGATACCCAAATCACACATTGATAATGTGTGATATTGCGACATATACAATGTTCGCAAATGGCTATGTTACCATATAACATTCGTCCGAAAATTTTAGGTCTCGTTCGGCATGTCCAGCGGGAAGAAATTCTGATCGACATTATGCCTTTCAGGGCAGACAACAGATTAAATATCGAACTAGTATAAGGGCGACACAAAGTTACAATGTATGATCATTTGACATTTGACATTAGAGTCTATATATGAGGTGAGATGTCAGAGCCTCACACCCTCGACCTAATATTCAAACTGTAAGGAGGTCAGACATTCATAGCGCCGCTAAGCGGCTTGACGAGTGGCATACTCGATGGCCACTTAGTGGTCATTGGATCGCCAAGTGTACCGCTCAGCGGCTTTTCAACTGGTCGTGGGAGATCGCACAAGCACAAGCACAAGTTCGATCAAAGAAAGTACATTAACTGTATATAATGAGAAAGCGGCAAACGACAAGACATCGACAAACTGCTAGCACAGGATGCAACGACGAGGGGCAAGGGACAGGAACAGCACGTAAAATTATGAGGAAACCACTTATTTGCACACAAGCTGGGCCAAGTCATCCCTATCCACCCTAAGCGTCCTGCTGCCTTCTTCCAGTACTAGAACAAGCGGGTCTGCCATGCCCCGCATCGTTTTGCCGTATGCTCCGAAGTTGGGGCCATGCTTACACATGATCGCATAATCGCCAGGGCCTGGTCGCAATATGACGAGGTCTTGGAGAGAGACATCGGCATATTCTAGCTTTCGCGTCCAGTATTCGCATCGCACCTTGCCGTCCACTGGGGAGGCTCCCTTCACCGTGGTCATCAGCTTGTCTCGGAGTTGACCGGCTGTGCACATGAACTTAAAGCGATAAGTATGGAACGCAGGTGCCACAGCTGCATCCAGCATCCATCCATTGGGTGAATTCAGCGGACATTTTGTGTTGATGATGAGGCTACACACCATTAGGTTCGACTAAAGACATCGATCCATCGGGTCCTAATGTGGATTCAGCGGACGCTCGGTAGTGGTGGTGCGGTTACGCACCATTAAGTTCCACCAAATACGCCCACGCCGAATCTGTGTCGTGTGACGCGGGTTCTAATTCGTGGCCCAATGAGGTCCGAGGCTGCTCAGGGAGCGGACCATGCTTCGCCGTGTCGATGTTGCCCCTGCAATGAGGCAGTTAGATATGACCAGAACTACAAGTAATGAATCTTACCTTTCTTCTGACCGGAATGCGATCTCGGGCTTTTGGAACAAGAGGACGCCCCTCGAGGTTAAAAGCTTGGCTTCAAGCTCAACTTCGTAATCGCCGTGGTACGTGACGTTTCGCAATGTGCCCACAAATCCCTTCAAAGGGCCTTTGATGACACGCACTGCTTGCCCGATGTCGGGATTCTGTCGGTCAGGATGCTTGAGGGCAAGCTCCATCTCCACCTCTTCCTCCGTTTGCATCTCAGAGCGTGAGGGGCGCTGCTCTCCCGGCCTTGATACTGTCACCGACGGCTGTATCGAGGTCCATTCTGCCTCGGACTCTGTGAGTAAGAGATCCCAGGGTAACACATGATGCTATATCGAGTTTTGAGCATCGATAATGTCGCAGGTGGTGGGAAATACCTCAGAGGTTTCCAACACAGAAGAAGTATGAAAGACTCCCATTATTGGGTTTCTAGTTCACTGAGAAAAGTTCAGTACTTGGAAGCATCGTCGTACGTAGAACATACATGCTGAGGAAAGTTCCACTATTAAGGATTGCAATTGCATGAGAAGTGCACAACGTACCTCGACTTTGTTCGCGTGAACAATCGTGACATCGAAATCATCCACGGCAATCACTTGCCCTTCCAAGCCCGCATGGAGGCCCGTCTTAACTTTGACCGCATCGCCAACTGCCCAAAGGGGGTGTAACTGAGTTACAGGTAGCACGAGAGATGAAAGTTCGTCATCCAACTTCTCGTGGTAGAGATTGGTTAGCGTAGCCTGTCCATTAATGACTGAATGCATGACACCGATGAGGCCGCATTGCTCGCCCTGTATAACGATCACACGCGTGCCTGCAGCCAATTCGAAGTCAACACAGAATAGAATGAGCTTTGCTATTGCTGTCTTTGGCACGAATTTCGCTGCATTAAAGACGAATACATCGTTTCGAGTCGCGTGGATGTCGAAAGTCACCCGGTCCAAAGTGAGTTCGAGCTGCAGGAGGCCGCCTTTGAACTTCTTGCCCTTGAGAATATGTATCAGCCGATCACCTTCGCTTTCTGTCACAGCCTCTCCGAACAACTCCTTCAGTAATGCTGGCGGCATCGGTTGCTGAGAAGTTCTTCCGTGCTGCCGCTTTTTTGTAGTAGGCAAGTGCGGAACCACCCAGACACGGAGGAGAGAGTCCTCTCGTGACTCCACGAAGGCCACATCGTGCTTATATGTACCACGCGAGATGCACACCCAAGGAGAGAGGAAACCATTTTCCGTGGCTTGAAGGTGGATTCCATCGGGGGCAAGAGAGACGACTGCGCCACCCGACTGTGAGGCCCGCTATGCACATTTAGCCGCCATGTCTCTCTCCGTAATAGACTGAGCCATGGCTTCTGCATCAGCAGCATCATCGCTGACACATGCATTATCAAGACGCGCCCGAGCTTGTTGAGTGCGTTGGACGTCGGCGAGCAACTCGGCTGGAAACAAGCTGTAAGATATATCCAATAATGCAGCTGAGACACTTACCCAGTTCCTCCTCCTCTTCTTCTTCTTCCTCCTCCTCCTCCTCCTCCTCGTTGTCGACGATAGCCTCGATATCCAAGTATGGGTTCTTGGCATTCCATGCATGAGGATTGAAAATGTAAGATGTGACTGCAGTACTTACCGCTTTCCGCGCACGCTTTGAAGACATGGCAGCATCAGTGGTACCGAGAGGTCGGGATAGTGTCCATTAGATTTGAGCAATCGTATCTTATGAGACGTCGCTTGGAGTACACGAGGCTTCGACCACGAGGCGTTCATCACCAATCAGCCCACATGTACAATTACTTCCGAGTAACACGCGCAATGTCCTTCAACGTCGCACTGCTGGTGATGAGGTGTCACCGAGAAGATTTCCGATGTAGCGGCTGCTCCTGCAGTTGTGCGTGAGCATGCACAAGCGCCGCATTCTCCTATACATTGAGAAACATGTCAGTATAGCTACACCGCCCTTCGTCCATATCGTGCACATACATTATTGTCAGCCTGTCAGCCTATCAACCTCAGCGTGTACAATCGACCTGGCGCGATCTGGCTGTAACCGCACGGGTGCGTTAATGTCAAGGGTCTTCAGAAATTTTTACGCGTAAGGTAATCAATAACCAAATCGGCTGCAATTCGATTGTATCCCACTCTGGTATGCAACCGGCGCAAAAGGGCGATGAAACAAACTGTCCGGCAGCTTGGCTACCTATACTATAGCTAAAGATAACGAGGACCCCACAAGAATAAATAACAATGAAACTACAAAAGAGAGTGAACTACACTACAATGTTACTAAAGGCTCCAGGCCACATAGCAAATGACAAGCGCTACAGCCGAGAGATGGTGGTGGAATGAGAACAAGAGGAAAGAAACACCCATTCCACCTCCAGCGGAGTTTTGACACATCTCATCGCTTTGTCCCACGCAAATAAGGCAGCCACACATCACGGGCCACTTGTCACGAGCTGCTTGTCACGAGCTGCTTCTCAGCCTCTGTTTGTCTTGCACAAATAGACCGCGTGTGCCATCTGGCCGCTGTCCAGAATTTGGGCGCCTTCTTCCTTGCCTTCGAATTTCCATCATCCCTGCGATATCGGCCAGTTCTTCCATCGCCGTGTCTGCCTCCTCCTCCTCGCCCATGCCCTCCTCGCCATTGTCGTTGTCGATGCCATCACCCTCTTCCGCTCCAGTGCCGTCGTCACCGCCCTTTTCCTCGCCCACTTCGATGCCCTGAGGGCTTCCTCATAACGCCCTCTTCCGCGCAGGTGCCCTCTTCCTCGCTGAGCCGTTCTCGTGCGTGCCACCATGCCTGTTTGAATTAGGGGCCGATAGTATACATTGTATTAGAACCTGTATCATAGCCATCCGAGCCACATCTCTGATGATTGAGCGCCATATCGGGTTTGTACCAAACATAACCATAAGAACAGCGAAAATGCACCATTAATTGACGCCTGAGCCGCTAGAACAACCCACAGGCCAATATTGGCTCTGCTTGAAAGCCCGGAACCGTACGTTGTTGCCCATGGACGCATCGTCCACAGCTCACTCTGGCTATACAGATATTACAGATGCTACATAACAATCACTCGCAAATACCGGTCCTTCGTCAAGGTCTCGACGTCTCCGCTTTCTACAATACCTGGCGCGTGTTCATGGAATGGTCAGAAATTACGAGGATCGACCACCTGAGCATACCATGTGAGTGCTCTAGTCCCACCATGATGCACCCCACTTACATGACATTTGCCATGTACACCAAGCTGTGCTGTGACCTGAAGAAGATTCAGGCTTCCGTCTTGGGAGCAGTGGCATTCAATTTCCTGTATAGCTTTCCAGTGTTTAGCTTTCGCAAAGAGCTTGATATGAACGACTTTGGCCTGCTCATCGTTCGGCTTCCGTGCTGGGATCTTGATGCACAGGACTATGTTGGGCTTCTCCGCGATAGGTGAGTCAGTACGTTTTCTCGTCTCACCGCAATTCAAGAGGTCATACCTGATCTTCGCGAGCCTTCTTGTTAGTTCTCGCATCTTTTTCCGTAAACTCTGCGGGTGCCAATCGTTTACCGATCGTGGAATAAATACACGAAGCGTCTCAGTCGCGAAGGCCTGAAGGGGCTGGAGGAGGCATGCCGGAGGGTTGCAGGTGAGCTCGTTTAGGGCTTTGCGATCACTCTCGCTCTCCCGAGAGAGCACATTTGCTGCACCACCATCCCACTGTCTGCGGGTGCATTTGACTATAACATTGGTCACCACATGGTCGAACGTTGCAATCATAGGCTTACATGCTTGTATGTCAGACGCACTCGTTTTGCTCGTCACTCCACATTGCGCTCTTCGGGCGATTTACGCTTGCGTGCGATCTCCGACGTCGACTTCTCAAGAGGTGCTGAGCCCGCGGTATCCTCGTGTGCATAAGGACCGAGTGTTGGAGCCGCAGGGGCATGTCGCTGACTACTGTAAGTGCCTTCTGCTATGTTCGCTGTGAGATTTGCTCACATATTTCCAGAGTGCATCGATGTAGTCCTGCTTTACTGCATTCGACCGGCCAGTTGGTGTGACCGTTAAATTGTGCTTGTTGCAGAGTTTCGTAAGTATGTCCACCGTGTACCTGCTGAAAGTTGATTTACTGTACTTTTTCCGTAGCAGTGTCTGTTCGGCTCGTTCGAGGTCGAACATGGTCAGTGGTCTACGGTTGCCTGATTCTTTTGTATATGTCAGTCACCTGCAATCCTTATGGAGTGTGCGACTTGAATTGGTAAGACTATTGTTCTATTGTTCACCGCGACTTAGCGCAAAGGCGCGACCTCTCCCGGCTTTGAGCTTCCCCATCCATGACCAGCATGCTCCAACTGCCGATAACAAAACATCACATCCAGCGCCAGTACCAACCCTCATCAGGACACATGCGCGCCTTCTCACCTCATCGGCAAGGTCGAAATTCCACCTTATCAAGCCTCAATCAGATGTTCAGGCTGGCACACGCCAAAGCATTGCTAGCGACGCGCATTCCCCAGGAGCTGATGCAGCAGTGTCAGAACCCGTCATCCCTAAGCCTGACGGCCAAGTAGGTCGCCCAGGCCGAGGAGGTTACACGCTTAGTGATGAGTTAGGGAGACACGGGTGGGATACCGTGAAGTATAACAAGTTTCTGGTATGAAGCATATCTTGCAATGTTTTCAAAGACTGTAGCTGACTAGCAAGTACAGAAGGACATCGGTGACTTGGCAGTCAGGTATTTGGAATTGGACAAGACAATCTCGAAACAGAATCAGACGATGTTGGACGCAGTGTATGCCCAGGTACGTCGGGTAGTTGCATACACGATCGGCACTGACGGTTACAGAACTTCATCAGGCTACGAAGCTCTATCCCCAGCTCGCGCACTACAAGAAGAGTTGGCCGGTCAGAGACGTTCTGAAGACCAAGTTAGGAAACACGACCTACATGACCAAGAAGGATAGGGGGAAGGAGCAGGAGGCCCGCACATCTGTAAGTATAGTTTGAACCTCAAATGACCGATGCTTATTTGTCTGCAGGTTGCACCGGCTGTGTTGTAAAATATCCTGCATTGTTGTACTGCTCTCGATTTTAGTTATGAATGTAGACTCAATTGTTTGGATTCGAGCGGCGCCCTACATGCGCTCATGTAGCGTTATCCCATGTTGTTTCCAGATCTGCGCTGTACGAGTCGACCCCATTTGCACCAATGGTCAGTAAAGTTATAAGTCGGCTGTCCCGGGCTGCTGCCTGAACGGGGGATACTAAGGCTCACAAGATCGTCGGCATGCCCAGTCGGCAGTAACGCAAAAGTAACGCATATGTCACAGACAGTAACACGTGCCATTTTGTTACTCCGCTCGGCAGCCTAATGCGCGAAGGTTGTGACCGTGTCATTGTGAATGCCACCACTTGAAACCCCGCTGCCGACGCTCGCGGCAGACTTCGGCCAGTGACTAGCCAGCGTTACATTGGAGGTCAAAAAGGGACTCCTCCAATACCGATCCATTTGAGCTCGTTCAACCTCAAGAATGTTGTAGTACTATAAAATCATACATATAAGAGATAACTAAGTGGTAGAGGCAGGGGAAAGGGCTAATTGAGCGAGGTGCTGACTTGGGGGGCATGCCGATGATCTTGTGAGCCATAGTATTGATTGCAGCACACATTCACCTCCACCTTCACCGAGCTTCAGTCTTTCCACGATGGGAGCAGACGATAATGCACATCTGATCAGTCAAGTAATGTACCGACTCGTCAAAGACTTACGTTAGATGCCAGTAACATTGCAGGAGCGCTGTGTGGAGGAGAGCGATGTACCTCCCTTGCCGCTGACAGGGAAGACCTCGCGAACGAGCATCATGGACCGGTCTACATCCTCGACGAGCTGCTTGGTCCGATATACGCTGGCCGTAAGGGTCCGAACCTCCTCCTGTAAGTCACTAATGGAGGACACCGAGGCCATGTAAGTGCTCTCTGTAAACAATGTTAATATCGATTCAAGTCAAAATGTATAATCATCACTTACGACCACGACTAGCCATGAGGATCAGTTTGGACAGCAGTGGGGGAATGGTGGTGGTGGTGGTGGTATGCTCCGAATGTGAGATGGGGAAAGACTCGGAGACACCGCAATATATATAGGCATAGTCATGAGACCCTATTATATAATTATAGGTGGAATACTATTAGTGACCGACATGCCCCAGAAGGGTGATACTTCTTTCTATGCAGTTTGAGCATTCCATATGCTACAGAAAAAATATCTGAAGCCGAAAACAGTCAGGCAACATGGCACAATATATTTCCTCCGATCATCGGCATGTCGCAACACTTTTAATACAAAATTTTATACAAAATCTCACTATCCCGATTCCTACTTAGCTGTGAAGCTTTGAAGGGTTCTAGCGATGACAGAAGCAGTGTGAAAATCTAACCCTTTTTTTCAATGGCCGGGAAAGAACTTGTTTTATAAATCTTTACCTTAAATTCACAATGAATTGTGTGCTGGGTATGGGATAGTGGAAGAGGGTCCATATGCTTTCGAGTCTCACACGCGAGCTTCGCAGGCTTCACCGGTGCCCACATGATGAAAGAACTTGATAACGAATACATACATTCTCCGACGACAATGCAGCGCAAGATAACAATGAATACGTTCTCGGATGACAAACTATACATGACCCAACACACGAACAGCTAACCCCTAAAGGTTGCTCAGCGAACTAGTGGAGGAAGTGAATAAAGACTACATCAGTACAATGTTGAACGCGTGTACGCACTGTCGGCAATGACCTCTGCACAGAGAGAGTCCACGGCATCGGCTGTGACATCTACTATTTGGCTGAGCTCCTCCGTGTGTTGTTCTGACTCGTCTAAACATTTCTGCATCGCACGAATATCTGCGCGTGCTCACGCTTCAGGTCCTCGATCTCCTCCAGTAAGGACGTGCGCGTATCCGATGAAGGCGGACGGGATGTGCTCGCCACGTCCGTCTCGGTACTAGATTTTGGACATTGGACTGGGGACACGGAGACCTGTAGGTGAGTAACGTCAGCAACTGAAATGTGGACAGCAAACTTCCACATCCACCTTGTCTGACATATTTGCGGCCGACTTTTCGAAATTCTGAGGGAGTAGCGTGGACAGCGAAATCCGGGACGGATGGCGATGGGTTCGCATTATCAGCCTGGCAGCAGCAGGCAGGATATATAAAGGCAACATACCTGGGATTAGAAGCGTCATGCCAGATGGTTCCATGAATACCTGTCGCGGAAGTCAACGAGAAGCACGGCGTCAGCACGGAATTCATGTAAGCGATGTGCGTAGAGCACTCACATGGTACGCTCAGGTGGTCGATCCTCGTAATTTCTGACCATTCCATGAACACGCGCCAGGTATTGTAGAAAGCGGAGACGTCGAGACCTTGACGAAGGACCGGTATTTGCGAGTGATTGTTATGTAGCATCTGTAATATCTGTATAGCCAGAGTGAGCTGTGGACGATGCGTCCATGGGCAACAACGTACGGTTCCGGGCTTTCAAGCAGAGCCAATATTGGCCTGTGGGTTGTTCTAGCGGCTCAGGCGTCAATTAATGGTGCATTTTCGCTGTTCTTATGGTTATGTTTGGTACAAACCCGATATGGCGCTCAATCATCAGAGATGTGGCTCGGATGGCTATGATACAGGTTCTAATACAATGTATACTATCGGCCCCTAATTCAAACAGGCATGGTGGCACGCACGAGAACGGCTCAGCGAGGAAGAGGGCACCTGCGCGGAAGAGGGCGTTATGAGGAAGCCCTCAGGGCATCGAAGTGGGCGAGGAAAAGGGCGGTGACGACGGCACTGGAGCGGAAGAGGGTGATGGCATCGACAACGACAATGGCGAGGAGGGCATGGGCGAGGAGGAGGAGGCAGACACGGCGATGGAAGAACTGGCCGATATCGCAGGGATGATGGAAATTTGAAGGCAAGGAAGAAGGCGCCCAAATTCTGGACAGCGGCCAGATGGCACACGCGGTCTATTTGTGCGAGACAAACAGAGGCTGAGAAGCAGCTCGTGACAAGCAGCTCGTGACAAGTGGCCCGTGATGTGTGGCTGCCTTATTTGCGTGGGACAAAGCGATGAGATGTGTCAAAACTCCGCTGGAGGTGGAATGGGTGTTTCTTTCCTCTTGTTCTCATTCCACCACCATCTCTCGGCTGTAGCGCTTGTCATTTGCTATGTGGCCTGGAGCCTTTAGTAACATTGTAGTGTAGTTCACTCTCTTTTGTAGTTTCATTGTTATTTATTCTTGTGGGGTCCTCGTTATCTTTAGCTATAGTATAGGTAGCCAAGCTGCCGGACAGTTTGTTTCATCGCCCTTTTGCGCCGGTTGCATACCAGAGTGGGATACAATCGAATTGCAGCCGATTTGGTTATTGATTACCTTACGCGTAAAAATTTCTGAAGACCCTTGACATTAACGCACCCGTGCGGTTACAGCCAGATCGCGCCAGGTCGATTGTACACGCTGAGGTTGATAGGCTGACAGGCTGACAATAATGTATGTGCACGATATGGACGAAGGGCGGTGTAGCTATACTGACATGTTTCTCAATGTATAGGAGAATGCGGCGCTTGTGCATGCTCACGCACAACTGCAGGAGCAGCCGCTACATCGGAAATCTTCTCGGTGACACCTCATCACCAGCAGTGCGACGTTGAAGGACATTGCGCGTGTTACTCGGAAGTAATTGTACATGTGGGCTGATTGGTGATGAACGCCTCGTGGTCGAAGCCTCGTGTACTCCAAGCGACGTCTCATAAGATACAATTGCTCAAATCTAATGGACACTATCCCGACCTCTCGGTACCACTGATGCTGCCATGTCTTCAAAGCGTGCGCGGAAAGCGGTAAGTACTGCAGTCACATCTTACATTTTCAATCCTCATGCATGGAATGCCAAGAACCCATACTTGGATATCGAGGCTATCGTCGACAACGAGGAGGAGGAGGAGGAGGAGGAAGAAGAAGAAGAGGAGGAGGAACTGGGTAAGTGTCTCAGCTGCGTTATTGGATATATCTTACAGCTTGTTTCCAGCCGAGTTGCTCGCCGACGTCCAACGCACTCAACAAGCTCGGGCGCGTCTTGATAATGCATGTGTCAGCGATGATGCTGCTGATGCAGAAGCCATGGCTCAGTCTATTACGGAGAGAGACATGGCGGCTAAATGTGCATAGCGGGCCTCACAGTCGGGTGGCGCAGTCGTCTCTCTTGCCCCCGATGGAATCCACCTTCAAGCCACGGAAAATGGTTTCCTCTCTCCTTGGGTGTGCATCTCGCGTGGTACATATAAGCACGATGTGGCCTTCGTGGAGTCACGAGAGGACTCTCTCCTCCGTGTCTGGGTGGTTCCGCACTTGCCTACTACAAAAAAGCGGCAGCACGGAAGAACTTCTCAGCAACCGATGCCGCCAGCATTACTGAAGGAGTTGTTCGGAGAGGCTGTGACAGAAAGCGAAGGTGATCGGCTGATACATATTCTCAAGGGCAAGAAGTTCAAAGGCGGCCTCCTGCAGCTCGAACTCACTTTGGACCGGGTGACTTTCGACATCCACGCGACTCGAAACGATGTATTCGTCTTTAATGCAGCGAAATTCGTGCCAAAGACAGCAATAGCAAAGCTCATTCTATTCTGTGTTGACTTCGAATTGGCTGCAGGCACGCGTGTGATCGTTATACAGGGCGAGCAATGCGGCCTCATCGGTGTCATGCATTCAGTCATTAATGGACAGGCTACGCTAACCAATCTCTACCACGAGAAGTTGGATGACGAACTTTCATCTCTCGTGCTACCTGTAACTCAGTTACACCCCCTTTGGGCAGTTGGCGATGCGGTCAAAGTTAAGACGGGCCTCCATGCGGGCTTGGAAGGGCAAGTGATTGCCGTGGATGATTTCGATGTCACGATTGTTCACGCGAACAAAGTCGAGGTACGTTGTGCACTTCTCATGCAATTGCAATCCTTAATAGTGGAACTTTCCTCAGCATGTATGTTCTACGTACGACGATGCTTCCAAGTACTGAACTTTTCTCAGTGAACTAGAAACCCAATAATGGGAGTCTTTCATACTTCTTCTGTGTTGGAAACCTCTGAGGTATTTCCCACCACCTGCGACATTATCGATGCTCAAAACTCGATATAGCATCATGTGTTACCCTGGGATCTCTTACTCACAGAGTCCGAGGCAGAATGGACCTCGATACAGCCGTCGGTGACAGTATCAAGGCCGGGAGAGCAGCGCCCCTCACGCTCTGAGATGCAAACGGAGGAAGAGGTGGAGATGGAGCTTGCCCTCAAGCATCCTGACCGACAGAATCCCGACATCGGGCAAGCAGTGCGTGTCATCAAAGGCCCTTTGAAGGGATTTGTGGGCACATTGCGAAACGTCACGTACCACGGCGATTACGAAGTTGAGCTTGAAGCCAAGCTTTTAACCTCGAGGGGCGTCCTCTTGTTCCAAAAGCCCGAGATCGCATTCCGGTCAGAAGAAAGGTAAGATTCATTACTTGTAGTTCTGGTCATATCTAACTGCCTCATTGCAGGGGCAACATCGACACGGCGAAGCATGGTCCGCTCCCTGAGCAGCCTCGGACCTCATTGGGCCACGAATTAGAACCCGCGTCACACGACACAGATTCGGCGTGGGCGTATTTGGTGGAACTTAATGGTGCGTAACCGCACCACCACTACCGAGCGTCCGCTGAATCCACATTAGGACCCGATGGATCGATGTCTTTAGTCGAACCTAATGGTGTGTAGCCTCATCATCAACACAAAATGTCCGCTGAATTCACCCAATGGATGGATGCTGGATGCAGCTGTGGCACCTGCGTTCCATACTTATCGCTTTAAGTTCATGTGCACAGCCGGTCAACTCCGAGACAAGCTGATGACCACGGTGAAGGGAGCCTCCCCAGTGGACGGCAAGGTGCGATGCGAATACTGGACGCGAAAGCTAGAATATGCCGATGTCTCTCTCCAAGACCTCGTCATATTGCGACCAGGCCCTGGCGATTATGCGATCATGTGTAAGCATGGCCCCAACTTCGGAGCATACGGCAAAACGATGCGGGGCATGGCAGACCCGCTTGTTCTAGTACTGGAAGAAGGCAGCAGGACGCTTAGGGTGGATAGGGATGACTTGGCCCAGCTTGTGTGCAAATAAGTGGTTTCCTCATAATTTTACGTGCTGTTCCTGTCCCTTGCCCCTCGTCGTTGCATCCTGTGCTAGCAGTTTGTCGATGTCTTGTCGTTTGCCGCTTTCTCATTATATACAGTTAATGTACTTTCTTTGATCGAACTTGTGCTTGTGCTTGTGCGATCTCCCACGACCAGTTGAAAAGCCGCTGAGCGGTACACTTGGCGATCCAATGACCACTAAGTGGCCATCGAGTATGCCACTCGTCAAGCCGCTTAGCGGCGCTATGAATGTCTGACCTCCTTACAGTTTGAATATTAGGTCGAGGGTGTGAGGCTCTGACATCTCACCTCATATATAGACTCTAATGTCAAATGTCAAATGATCATACATTGTAACTTTGTGTCGCCCTTATACTAGTTCGATATTTAATCTGTTGTCTGCCCTGAAAGGCATAATGTCGATCAGAATTTCTTCCCGCTGGACATGCCGAACGAGACCTAAAATTTTCGGACGAATGTTATATGGTAACATAGCCATTTGCGAACATTGTATATGTCGCAATATCACACATTATCAATGTGTGATTTGGGTATCGCATGCCCAGACATCAGGCCTTACATTGTAAACATATTTTCGACCGTCGGAGCTACATACGGGCCGTCATACATGTAAATGTTAGGCCAGATGTTCCCACAATGTAAGGAACTTAGATATTAGTCCCCGTCTCTGGTGTTAGATGGTCGAAAGAGGTACCATATATAATTGAGAAGCCACTGAAAATTGCACCTTTTAAACTTTTGGAGAAACCAAAGAAAGGATCCACTACAGACACTGCAGAAACTAAGACACCAACTCAAGCAGAACATCAAGCTCTACAGTTAGCCCATTATGTAGCAGCTGCAGGAACAAAAAGCCTTGTTACTCTGAGTAATGATCCTGGTGCAGCATGTGGTGCTAAGCATAAACATAGTGAAGACACAGCAAGCTCTAAGTCTAAGAAACAGAAGGTTACAAGTGCTACAATACCAGAAAATCTGGCTTCACCACAAGGCTTTATTTGGAATGCAGAAACATACAGTTGTGCCTATGACAGTCTCTTCTCAATCTTACATGCTGTATATACAACTTCACCTGAATGGTGGATGTCCAATGTTCAGCAGCAGAATATTCACCTGCAGCTTTTTACACAAGTGTTTGATGGTGTTAAACTGGGCAAATTGACAATGGAGAATGCACGAGACAGAATCAGACTAAGTTTGCGCCAAGTTAACTCTGAGGTATTTCCAGCAATAGGTACAGAAGGAACTGATATCTATGCATTATGCCAGGAGATCTTGAATCACTCTGAAGATATTCTGACTTGCACACTTATATGTGATCACTGTAATGTATTTGAGAGTAATACAGATGGACAAGTGATTTGGGATTGTAGCAGAGCAGTTTGGAAAGATAGTCCATTCAAACTTGGGTCCTACAAGAATAGATCAAGTACAGACTGGCTGGATGCAATTTTTGCCAGATGCTCTCAGCGTGTTTGTCCTAACTGTAATAGTGCATTGCTTTATAATCTGAAATATGAGTCCTTGCCAAATTTTCAGCGTTTCATCACCAACAGTCTGCAGATTAACTGGGAATCTGAGTTAGAATTGCAGGATCAGAAGTATAGACTTTGTGGTATAGTTTATTATGGTGGGTTCCACTTTACTGCAGGTATCATTACAAATACTGGAAGTGTCTGATTTAATGGTGGGGTTATAACTGGGCAGACTTGTATATTAGAGGGATAAATAGCGAGTATGGATTCAACTGCATTGACAAAGTGTAGATCAAAGATTAGCTCTGTTATAGTGGATGTTAAAGCATGACTGTATTAGATTGTAATATAGCAAAATGTATATTTAATTATTAAAATGTATAACTATAATACTTTTGAATGATGAGTGCAAGAAAAGAGACTAAACACATGTAGGCCTGATAGATATCAAAATCAGGAATTGTCCTTGCCATGCGTTAGCATCGGCCCACTCCAAGCAAGTATATTTATCATGCCTTCACAATAAATGCTGTTTGTGCTAAAACAAGATATTTACTGCCTACCAAGATCATCCAGGAAGTCGACAAGATGGTTCGCCTCACGCTCGCTACTCAGCCCTGGAATCCCATGACTGTCCTCACTGTCCTCATCCTCATCAGCTAGATAGACATTACCATTACTGTAGCAGGCCCAGGATGGTAGAGGAATATTGATTCCCTGTGCGAAATCACGTCCAAGGTGACAGCCGCACACCAGCTTCCCTGAGAATCCCATGAGTTGTGACATTTGATATCTATATCAAATGTCACAACTCATGGATGGTGCACAATCTTCTCGTTGATTCTGTCATGGTACTTCCACTGGTCAGAAAGGATACGGGCAATGGCAGGCTTCGTCATGAGGCAGTGGGAGATGGCTATGTGATAGTCGATGTGCTTGTCGACCATCGATGTGAAGAGGCGTGGAATCTCGATGTTTAGACGTTCAATCTCCTCATGTGCATGCTGAAGGTTGGAATAAGTATTCGTAACCTGACAGTTTGCACACTGTGCCCATGGTAATGCACGTATATCCTGGCGAGCATCGTGGAGTAGGTTGAAGTCAGTCTCAGCTCGCGTCTTCAGGGCTTTCCCGATCTTCTCGCGAAGCTTGTAACCTGAAGATTGCTCAGCAGTTGTATTGAGGTAAGCACAATGAGAACTCACTAACACCGCTCATACCGAGCTTCATCAGCTCAAACAGGCACTACACGACTAGACACTCGAGGTCGTTGAGTGCACGCCGATACTTACATCGTCCCAACTCCTCGGCCATTGTCATGTACTCGGGCATACCAGGCATCCACCGCTCAACAAGGCTCAACTCCTCCTCTATCAATCGCGCTTGCTCAGTGATGTCCTGGTAGCGATTATATGTGGTGGTCCGATACAGGGTTTGCACCTTGCTGATCTCCTTCTTCTTATATCCATTGACGATAATATTGTAGTTGAGGTTCTTGTACTTGACATGTGCCTGCTCGCATTTCCACCTAATAAAGTCAACGTACAGCTAATAACATGATATAGGAAAACGTACCCAGTGTCCTCGAGACGCTTCAAGGTCTCCATGTAGTTGATCTTGCGCACCAGTTCGGGAGGCTCCACCTTGAGACCACTCAGATACTCTTGCTCTTTCTTGAGGAATCGCTCATAATCGGCTGGCCCAGTCTTCAGCTCCTGTGAGAGAACATCCAGGATCTCCAAATCTTGCTCAATGATAGTAAGGGCCTGCTTGTAGTTATTGTAGATGAAGTTGCCTGCATGTGAAATGTTCCTTGTTAACGTAATTCATCTACATCGAGGAGCCGCTTACCTGACTCAATGTGCTTCTGTTCATCCCAAAACTCGAAGAATTGCTCAATCACTTGATGATGATGGAACGGCGAGGTGAGGCGCATGCCAGGCGCAACAGTGTTCGACTCCGAGAAACATGTCTCGCACCCCTCGAAGTCCTCCTTGCCCACGCTGGTCATATAGAGTGGGTGCCAGTGTACCTGACATCCACGGTTATGGCCATGGCCATGGAACGTGGGGACCACACCAGATACACCTGCTTTTGCTGCACTGGGCCCAAGCGAACTGCGTGCTAGCATCTTCGCAAATGCACATACGATGTCATATCCGACCTTGATATTGAAGCCGTAGACTTTGATGAGCTTGTCAATAATCGCGAGGGGTTATTTCATCCTAAAAATATCAGTACAAGGGATGATGAAAATGCGACAGACTTACAACTCATCACTGCAAATCATGTCACAGAGAACCAGAAGATGGCCATGTCGACAGAGGCATACGAAGATCCCTGTGATGGTGAACAGTGCGAACATCTTCTTTCGCGCTTCTGGACCCGCATTGCGCCAGCGCTCAACACAGACTGCTATTGGCTCCAAAACTCCCTCTGCATTGCCATGCTCTGCAGCGACGTCATCGTCGATGTCGTCATACTTGGCATGCACATTGTCCGGGAGGCCTGGGCCACTCCCCTTTTGTGTAGGCTGCTGCGACATCTATCAGATCTATCTTGAGATATAGAGATTGGGCATGTACCTGGTTCGATCGGGCAACCTCATCTTTGAATACATCTACTTCCTCAGGAGTCAGCCAGATATCTGTGCGACCAGTATGACCATCAGTGCGAGCGACACCAGACCGAAAGAGGTCATCAATGAGCTTCAGTGATTGGTTGCCATCCATCGTCGCTAGAAGGCAAAACTTCAAGGGACTTCAAGCTGGTATAAAAGCACGGGGCGCAAACATTGAGCATGCGCCAGTTCGGCGTGTTGCGGTGCAGCTCCACATTGAGGAGAATGTCGATACCATGGAGGATACCTAGGTAAGTGTCGTAGGCTATACTGAATTGATCGACAAATGCGCGTCAATATGGAGCCTGCATCGGAAAGAATCAGCGCAAATACTTGAGAAATTTATGAAGACTTACGGCATGCAGAAAGCATAGTGCTCGCACTATGCCTTGAATACTGAGACGGGGGCAGACACGATGTAGTTGTTGATATGCTTCGAGGGCTCTGAATGAGATGACAACTGTAGGCCTCACAGGTGCTGTACTTAGATAGCCGTGACGCGTGAGGGTGATATTCACTCGAGTGCTGGGAGTGAGGGATATGAACGCTCGATCGGCTACATCTGGAGGATTCTTTAGTCAAAAAAAGACTGAAGATACTAAACATACCGAAGAATCCCACCGTGAACATATTCCACAGTTCCGTGGCAGGGTCTGTCGCTACGATGGGAATGCCAGCCTTCCAGGCTATGTAGGCCTCCACAAGCTCTGCGCGTTGATCCTGCCATTGTTGAATGCATGTCTCAGTGAGTGCGCATATCTGCTCGCTTCCTGAGGTGTGTTAGTAGTGTCAGAAGATAGGGAGATGGAGAAACCCCTTGTCCTGCTTCCATATGAAAATATCCCTGCACAAGTCCTGCTCTCCACTGGC